AGCACTCTACCACTAAGCCACATTCCCATCCCCCCCCAGGTTTGGTTTGTCTTTTCTTTTTTTTTGGTACTGGGGATCGAACCCAGGACGTTGCACTTGCTAGGCAAGCGCTTTGCCACTGAGCTACATCCCAGCCCCCAGGTTTGGTTTGAATTCATGAACTCATGATCCTCCTACCTCTACCTCCTGGCCTTGCCTCCATGCCTAGCTTTACTTATTTTATTCTAATACTAAGTAGTTAAGTTCTTAGAAATTATCAGATTGATATGCTATCATTAGATAGTTCTAATTGTATAAACATTTTATATTTCTAATATGCACATTTACAAATTAAATTAGAAATATTAAAAATTAAACATTTTTAAAAGCTTTTGTGTGCCACACTTTTGTTACCTGACATCATCAGTGGTCCAGTGTTCTATGCTTCATATTTCAATATAATGGTCAGCTCACCAAAGATTTTCTTAGGTGTTTAGTGGTGTGTGTGTGTTGGTACTAGGACTTAAACTCAGGTGGTGTGTGTGTGTGTGTGTGTGTGTGTGTGTGTGTGTGTGTGTGTGTGTTGGTACTAGGACCTCATACTCAGTATTTTACTCAAGGCTGGTACTTTACCACTTGTGCTATACCTCCACTTTTGGATTTTTGCTGGTTAAGAATTTCTTGGATTTGTCTGCTGGGGCTGGCTCTGGACCATAATTTTCAGATCTCAGCATCCTGAATAGCTAGGATTATAGGTGTAAACTGCTAGTACCTGGTCTTTATTTACTTCTGAGTGTGTGCATTCTTACATGTGCTTTGCACACCAGTCCTGGAGCTTGAACTCAGCCTGGATACCGTCCCTGAGCATTTTTGCTCAAAGCTAGCACTCTAGCACTGAGCCATAGTACCACTTCTGACTTTTTGGTGGTTAATTGGGGATATGAGGCTCTAAACTTTACTACCCAGGCTGACTTCAAACCATGATCCTCAGATCTTGGCCTCCAGGATTACAGGCAACAGTGTCACTGTTGCCTGGCTTGTAGTTTCCTTCTTTGAAGTCTTCCCTCCCTCCATATTCTCACTGGCTTCTATATAGTTATTTTAAAATTTGAATTTAAAAGAATTGTGGACAAAGAATTTTAGAAATTGTTAAAAAAAAACCTCAGCAATAACATCCAGAACATTATGGTGCATAATTACATTCATTGCAGCCAAGTAACTGTAGCTCATGCCTTTAATCCTAGCTACTCAGGAGGCTAATATCTGAGGATTGCAGTCCAAAGCTAGCCTGGACAGGAAAGTATGTGATATTCTTACCTTCAGTTAACTACCAGAAAACCAGAAGTGGAGCTGTGGCTCAAAGTGGTAGAATACTAGCCTTGAGCAAAAAGAGCTCAGGGACAGTGCCCAGGCCTTGAGTTCAAGCTCCACAACTGACCCCCCCCCAAAATATATACATATATATATTACTATATATATATTACATTAGTTGGATATTGTTCTGGTTTTTAATAGAGATCAGGCATCAGTGGCTTCATCAAGATAAAAGGCTGTATTTCTCTACATTAAAAGCCAGTCCTGGGATGCAGGCAGCCTTGGTGAGTTCATCTAGGTACCAGAGTTGTTGTTCTCTTATTTTTCTATTCCTTCATATATATCCTTCTGTATAAAACCATGTTTGGCCTCCACCACCTATGCCTGAAATGTAGCCATAGGGAAGAAAGGATATGAATATGATATGAATATTTTTCTTCTAAAAAGATATGGCCTAAAATGTATTTGCTACTCACAGTCTTTATCTCTCATTAGAATTTAGTCACATTGCCATGATTTCCTGCAGGAAAAGGTTGGGAACTGTAGGTCTATGTAGCTAAGTCCTGGCATATTTTATTTATCAAAAGGAAGGATGAGAACATGTTTGAGGTCAGATATCTAACTGCCATAGTGTTTTTCCTCGAATGCATGCTTACTGACATTATTGGTGAAACTGTCTTTACTTATTTTGCTATGATATTTTTCTTACATGGGAAAAGCATAGGCATTTCAAGAGTTAGCTTTATTTATTGGATCATTATGGCAGTTAAAATTGGTTTTTGGTTGTTGATATGCTTGTCTTCCCATTATGTTAACTTCCTCAAAGGTACAGAATAAGCTTTCTTTCTTTGTAGTTTTGTTCCTGGAATAGGGCCTCTATATGTAGCTTTCTTATTACTCTGACCAAAATTTTCCTGTTGTTAATATATTTTCTAGTGTATTTCAGGTTCAGGAAATGAATACAATCCTTTTAGTAGATTTTTATTGCTATGCTGACTGTGTTCATCATTTATTTTTATATAGTTCTGCATGAATAGTGTTTTGTGATACATGTTATATATAAGAAATCAATTATAGTTTAGCAAGTAGCATGTTTACTGATAAAAAAGACAATTTATCTTTATTTCTTCATGTCTTAAGAAAATATTGTTGGGCGTGTGTGTGTGTGTGTGTGTGTGTGTGTGTGTGTGTGTGTGTGTGTGTGTGTGTGTGTGTGTGTGTGTGTGTGTGTGTGTGTGTGTGTGTGTGTGTGTGTGTGTGTGTGTGTGTGTGTGTGTGTCCTGGGGCTTGAACTTAGGGCCTGTCTGCTGTCCCTGAGCTTTTTTGCTCAAGGCCAGTACTCTACCACTTGAGCTATTTACAGCTTATTGGTGGTTAAATGACAATAAGAATCTCACAGACTTTCCTGCTTTGAATGGCAGTTCTTAGCTTGGACTACAGGCATGAGCCCCCACTGCCCTGCTGAGTGTTCAGCTTTGAATTAAACTTTCTTCATACTGGCGTTTTTCATACTGGAGTTAAACTCACGGCCTCTTACTTTTGCTCAGCTTTTTTGCTCACGACTGGTATTCTTTTCTTTTCTTTTTTTTTTTCAGTTGTGGGGCTTGAACTCTGGGCCTGGGTGCTGTCCCTCAGCTCTTCAGCTCAAGGCGAGCGCTCTACCACTTGAGCTACAGCGCCACTTCCGGTTTTCTGGTGGTTTATTGGAGATAGGAGTGTCACAGTCTCTCCTGCCCGGGCTGGCTTTGAACCGTGATCCTCAGATCTCAGCCTCCTGAGTAGCTAGGATTACAGGCGTGAGCCACCAGCACCCAGCACAACTGGTATTCTTAACCCTTGAGCCATGTCTCCAATTCTGGCTTTTTGCTGGTGACTTGGAGATAAGACTCTTATAGACTTGTTTGCTCAGGCTGGCAGATCTCAGATCTCAGCCTCCTGAGTAGCTAGGATTGTAGTTGTGAGCTGCTGGTGCCTGGTAAGTTAAACATTTCTTTTTAAGATGAGAGAACTTTTCTCTTTTGATTATTATATTTTTCAATCCTGTCACACTTTGTGTCTTCATCACATTTTTATTAAGTATATTCTTGTGTCATTACTTTAAAACACATTAAATCAACACAAGAATTTTTTTTAGCTAATTTCAGTACTTTTTAAAAAGCTTTAGCTAGATGATTTTTATTTTTCAAACTTACTTTGAAGACCCAAGGGATATAATTTAAAACTTTGGGAACCATCCTTAATTTGGCTTTTGGAAGAAATATACTGTAACTTTCCCTTGTTTTTCTGGTGGAAATTTTTTTTTTGTAATGCCAACAGGAAAATGCTATTCCACTAAGGTTCTTGGGTCATAGATCAGAGTCTTGGATCAGCAAAAAGAAATGAACTTTTGGAAGAATTCTGAGCCAATATTATGGGCCAGTCTAAACTACAATTTAGGCAATGGCAGGCTGCCTCAGTCTCCTTAAAAGGAAAAGCAACATTTAGTACCAATTATCAGGAGCAAAAAGGATCCTTGGTGTGTACACACACACACACACACACACACACACACACACACACAAACACATACACAAGATATAATGATGGGGGCTCTTTCTTTATACTCAGCTCTCAGTGGAGGAAGGAGGAAAGAGCAGAATGAAGAAGCAGTATGATAAAAGAGAATCCTTACTTTGTTTATGAAATCTGTTCAGGAACAGCCGACTCTTATTTCCCTAGTAATGAAGACAAGCAGCTATGAAGACCATCCAGAACCAATACTTGTATTTTATCTTGGAGAGCTTTTTTGTGATTGTTTTTGTTGCAGATTGAACCTTCTAATAGTGTTTTTCTTTGCTTGCAATCCTGGAACACACAATGATGGTTGCAGGGGAAGCAGTCACAGAGCAAACTCAAAGTGGAAGGAAGTGACCTAATTTTTATTTTAAATATTACCAATAAACAACATATCTTTCCCAAGGAAAATAATTAAGTTTGGCTTCTGGTTGTTACTTACTCAGATAATTTTAATCTTATTTGACATCCCAAGTTTCTCAACTGTATTATAAATTGTTTTGAATAAATTTAAATTTATGATATACAATTAACACTTATTAGTTGGTAATTTTTACCCAGATTTTTCTAATGAAAAGGAGGGAGTTCGTGGAAACTTTCTGTTTCTCTATGCTTTTTCTAACCCTGTAACCTCTTTCTTGAGTCTCAAGGTTCTTTACTTTCTCTCTTGTTATCCTGGCTCTTCTCAGTCCAAAGTCACTTGGATGAAACCTCTAATCTATCATTTACCCTGGAGTATTCTTCATATCTTTTTGCATTTTGTTCCTTTCCTTGCTCTTTTCTTCCTTTCCTCTTGTCCTCTCCCAACTTTTTCCCTTTCTTCTCCATACTGTGTCAGTGATACCAATGGGAGTATGTACAGTGCTTGCAGACATTGACCCCTATGTATTTGCATAATTATACATACAGAAAAATCTAGAAATAATATAAGAAAAATAATGATTATCTGTGGAAAATAGAAGTAAAATAGTATGTAATTATGGACAGATAATTATTAAAAACATTACTTGGGCAGTAGGAGAATTTCCAAATAATGTAGTTAGTTTTGCTCTTATAATAAGTATACCTTGAATTTTAAAGCATAAAAAGAATGAAATTTTGTACAGAAATATATGGTATTAGTGATGACAGTAATCCTTTGTTTTCTTCTCAAGCTGGTCTCTGGACTGTCTTCACATTAGGAGGTGTGGGCAGCAAAGCCACTGCTTCTCCAGAACTTTCTTCTCCTCTGGCCAACCAAAGTCTCCTGCTTTTACTGGTGTTGGCCAACCTGACAGATGCTCCAGAGGCACCAAACCCATACAGACAGGCCATTATGTCCTTTAAGAATACACAAGGTTGGTGAGGTTTTTTTTTCTCTTAATCTTCTTTCTAAAGAGGAGAGTGTTGTTTACTCCATATTGTTTATCTTATAGTTTTGGGGACGTGTGTTAACTTGTTTTTTTTCAAATTGGTTATGAAGAATTTCCTGTCAGTATTTTCAGGGAAGCCAAATAAATGCTAGAAGAGTTATTGAGGTCCTTTATATTTTCTAAACTTATATTTCTTTTGGAGATAATCAAGCTTGTACTTACTTTGGAGCATTCTGTCCTACCTATTAGGTATAGGAATTTAACCCATGAAGCCCAAAAATTGGTAGTTTTATATTTTCACTTAAATAATATATTTTAGCTGGGCATCAGTGGATCATGCCTATAATCCTAACTACTCAGGTGGTTGAGATTTGACGATCAAGGTTGAAACCCAGCCTGGGCAAGAAAATCCGAGAGACTCTTATCTTGATTTAACCACCAAAAAGCCCAAAATGAAGATGTGGTAGAGTGCTAGCTTTTAGCAAAAACAACTCAGAGATGGCTCACAGGCCCGAAGTTAAAGCCCCAGGACCAGCGGGGGGGAAAAAAAAAGAATCTGTTCTAATCAGAGTTTTATAGGATTAAAACTTAGGACAAAAATCAGCAAACCTTTTTCTGTAAAGCAGCAGTAGCATTGCATGGCCATCTGGTCTTTGTTGCAATCTCTTCACCCTGCTATTATTACCTGAAAGTATACATAAAAGACACTTGAATGAACAAGTATGGCTGTGTTTCAATAAAGCTTTATTTCTAAAATAGGTGGATTGCCTATGGGCTCTACTTACTAACCTCTAAAGTAGAAGAGGAACAGATGGTTCTTTGTGGAAACAGTAACATTCTATCCAGAGGTTATACTCTAAAAGGAAGATTACTATAGCAGTTACAGTATCAAGATGTAGCCAATAACTAAGGTGAGCAAGAAGTACAGTTCTTGAGCAGGAACAGAGAGGCTTCTGATTTCTAGATCCATTCTAACATACATTTCTCAAAGTTGAAATATTAGTGTGACAGTTGTATCTCTGCCAACTCTCCTATTATCATAGTCCGTTTGAGCTGCTATAATTAAATACCCAATAGTAGATAATTTATGAAAAAAAACAAATTGATTTCTTGTAGGTCTAAAGATGGAGAAATTCATAATCAAAACACTAGCAGGTTGGGTGCCTAACAAAGGTTCATCTCTGCCCCTCCTGTTGTGCCTTGAATGCTCTGTTCTCACATGGCATAAGCCTGAAGGACAAAAAAACTTTTTCTATGTGAAGTTCTCTTTCAAATTCCTTAATCAAAGATTTCACAAGGAAGAAACACTTAAGACTTAATCACCTCCTAAAAGCCATACCCCTTAATGCTACTGCATTGAAGACTAAGCTTCAACATAAATTTTGGAGGGAACACAGTCATTCAAACTGAAGCACAGAATAGTAGAAATCAGTAACAATTTTATGCATAAAACATGACAACTCATGTAGCCAGTAGTGATTTTTTTTGGTATTACACTCTTCTTAGTGATAATGTGGATCACTCGTTAATAAAGCACATTCTGGAGCTGAGCTTATAATATATCTCAATCACTTTAGAGTATGAAACATTTGGCAGTTTACATAATCTCTGTAAGTAAGTCTCAAGGACTTTGTCTATGAAGTGGACTTGATGTCACCTAATAACTTGTATAAATACCAGGTAAATGTAGAGTTTAAAATGATCAATTCAGGTTTCACTACATAGCAAGTATTCAGTATATAATTTCTAGCGTGATTACTTTTGCCACTCGGGCCAAATGTTAGTACATTTAGGGTTGAACCGTGGCTTCTAGGAGACAATAGGGTGAGACTAGAACTACTGACTTTAGAGTCAGATTGACCTGTATTTACACCTTAGTTTTTATTTAAAATACCAATGTTCTTATCTTTAAAGCAAGAATTATAATCTCTCCCTCACATGATTCTTTTTTTTGCCAGTCTTGGGGCTTGAACTAGGGCCTGGACACTGTCCCTGAGCTTCCTTTGCTCAAGGTTAGCACTTGAGCTTTGTGTGTTTCTGTGTACTAAGGAATCGAACCCAAGGCTTCATGTATGCTAGGCAAGCACTCTACCACTAAGCCACATTCCCAGCCCCCTCACATGATTTTTTTAAGAATTAAATGAACTTGTACACTAGTACAGACTCACTAAATTCATGCTGTTTTAGAAGAATCAACACAAATTTAAATTGTTGCTGTTATTGGAAGAAGCAACACAATACAAAGACTGTTACAGGTTTTACTTAGGGCCGATCCTGGAAAAGGTACTTAATCTCCCTAAACTTCCATTTTATTCTTTATAAAACTAGGTTAGAATAATGACATATTTGTTGTATGGATTAGATAAGGAATAATAGATGTAAAATAGCGGCTTGAAAGCTGGTTCATAGCAATTATTAGCTAGGAAGGTATAGCTGTTGTAAACACACATACACACATATGCATACACTTACGCCAGTGCAATCAGGTATAATCCTGTAATACAGTGTGTTCATAATCTTCTCTATTGTTTCATGTAAATTCTATAATACATATGTACTAGAGTACTTGACAGTACTTAGCCATCCCTTACAAATATATAGTTAGTCACGTGAAGCAATTATTTTGAAATTTAATTATAAATATTTCTAAATTACATGTTTAGGTGTTAAGTATGTAAATTATATGTTGTTTTTCCAGCCATTTTCTTTGGGAGTTGTTTAATAGAATTGGTGAATCTTGGGGCTGGGGAGGTGGCTCAGTGGTAGAGTGCTTGCCTTGCATGCCTGAGGCCCTGGGTTCGATTCCTCAGCACCACATAAGCAAAAAGAAAAAAAGCCAGAAGTGG